CACTCCAAATCAACACTTTTAAAAGCCTCAAACACCACATTTAAAATGCCCCAAACAACAATTTTAAAATTCCAAAATAACTCTCATGTAAGACCAAAACATTAATTTTAAATGTTACAAAATTAGCTAGGAAACCTAGCCCAAAACAGTGACAGTCTCCCTAAAAAAAAGTACATTTAAAGCCCCGAAAACTGCAGTTAAACTAGTCTGAACCAGATAACCCCTAAACATCACTTGTATAGCTTCTTAGGAACCCAAACAAAAATTTGAAAGATCAAACAACACTTTTATGGTCTGCTACAAACTCAAACAGCAATTTGAAAGATCAAACAACACTTTTATGGCATGCTACAAACCCAAACAGCAATTTGAAAGCTCAAACAACACTTTTAAGTATTTTCCAACACCTTACAACACCCCTAAAGCCAACAAACAACACTTTAGATGCGGTACAAAACCCCTAAAAAAATAGCAGAACACTCCGGGAAGCAACATCAACACCAATATAGTTGAACAGGTCTGATCATAGGCTAAAAGGTGCAATCAATTAGAAAAGTAAGAGAATTCAATTTCATTTCCTGTAACTTCTTCTACCCTAAGTAGCATACTTTACTTGGTTCCCTTCTATCTAAAGCACTTGGGCTTTGAAAAATGAAACCACTCCTTAGAAGGAATGAGGTTAATTCCCACATGATTTCAACGGATGGCAATTAAATACATACCATTTAATCCTCACGAATTTACATGTCCATCTCCAAAACAACAATGACAACTTACCTAAGCATGAACATGTGTATTTTAAAAAAGTTAAAATGGTGATATTTGTTTTGTGCTAGGAAGAATTTGAGTGGTATGTGTGTAAACATTGAAGTTTGGATGTTAGATATGTAAACAAGTAGGAGATAAGTGGCATGTATGTAAAAATTGAAGTTTGAATGTTGGATACGTAAATATGTAAGGATTGAGTGTTACAAATTTGAAAATTCCCTTCTTGAATCTTAACATAATCACGAAGTTTTCACAATAAAACCAAAATCAGAGCTCAAATCTAAATAATAAAAAGCAATATCAATGGATAAAAGAAGCTCATAAAACCAAGTAAAAGCAATTAGGATAAAAATTTAATCTGTGTATAAAGAAATGTGTAAATAACGAACAAATTATTAGATTCAGGATAAAACTTATATGAAAGGCGCAAACCTGGGACTGCAGTAGAGGATGCAAAAAAAACTTCTGGCGACTGTGAGGGTGCTTCGGTGCAGAGAGAGAGGCGAGCAAAAGCTTCGATCGTTGGGGGAGTCGAGCGGGCTGAGGCGAGGCGAGCGACGTCTGGAGGCGTGTCGACAGCAAGAGGAGGAAAGTGCGAACTCAAAAAAAATTCCCTGTCGAAAGGAAATTCAGTGGGATTTGTATCCCGCGCCTCTCTAATGCCGTTACAGGAGCATGTAGCGGGCTATTGTTAGCGGGCTATTGAATGTCTTCCATACAGGGGTAATTATATTAGATAAAAATTAAACCCTCACTAAAAATTAACTCCTAATCAAATTTAATTAAGATGAAATTAGGCGGTAAAATTTAAATTTTAAAAGTTTGAAATTTGAAATAATTGTGGCTTGTGTTCAGCCTGTGTCAAGCTCGAATTGAGCCCGGGCTGAACCCAACCCGTGCCCCGCTAATTAAAAGAAATGTGCATCAATTTCCGTGCAGTTCGCGCGAGTGTGGAACCACAACAATATGGGTGTCTTTTCTAGCTAAAATTGACGTTCCGGACGCGTCGGCGCAGTCCGTTTCGTCATTCGGGGTCGTCCGGACGAGTTTGCCGACAGGCGAGTCAATTTAAGCCAAAATTGTGTGTGGTGCAACGAGTGTGTTGCTGAGGCTCCGCTAGGATGGTCAACAAGGAACTCCTAAGGCTAGATTATGGATTATGGGAGTAGGAGACTAAGACCTCACTAAAATGAGGTCAACAGTTGGCATAGATCTTACATACTCAGAGGCAAACAATGTCATAGTCAGAAATGGTGAAGTTGCTCCAATCAAACACACAAGTAAAGGCATACTTGCCGCCCCCAATCGTAAGTTCATTCTCTTCACCCTCTTTCATGTTCCAACACTTTCTCACAATCTGATCTCAGTCCACCGATTTACTAAGGAAAACTGCCTACTTCATAATCCTCAATTCTCATATTTCCTAAATATTGGACTAACTGACCAAACAATTCTCTTACAAGGCATTGTTAAACAAGGATTCTACAACATCCTCACCAACCCCCTCCATTATCGCATTATGCTCTATCACTAAGCTCATTCCCCAACATCAAAGAATTGGGCCATCCTATCCACAAGAGCAGATCCAAGCCATCCTATCCAAATCAAGCCCATAATTCAACATACAACCATCTTCCTCCTGCAAGAACTACCACATTAATAAAAGCCATACTCTATCTTTTGTATCTAGCTCCACCACCAACAAGCTACTGGAATTAATACATAGTGATGCATTGGTCCCTTTTCAACCCCCTCCATGTATGGACACAAATAATATGTATCTTTTATAATCCACAAGAGCAGATCCAAGCTATCCTATCCAAATCAAGCCCAGAATTCAACATACAACCATCTTCCTCCTTCTGCAAGAATTACCACATTAATAAAAGGCATAAACTATCTTTTGTATCTAGCTCCACCACCAACAAGCTACTAGAATTAATACATAGTGATGTATGGGGCCCCTTTTCAAGCCCCTCCATGTATGGACACAAATAAAATGTATCTTTTATTGATTCACATCCTAAATACTACGGGAGATGTGGTGTCTATGTGCTAGGTGTGATGTACATACCCTAGTGATCTAGTGGCTATCTTCATGCATGATCTTTTAAGCTTAATTTATTTCAGAATCAACCCTTAAAATAAGTCATGCATATTTTATCTTAAAGTATTGCTCTATAATTGGTTAATTTATTTACATTTTGGATAAAATTTATACCCTTAAAAGCATATCGAGACATCACATACCAACCACAATATAAATAAAGAATTATAAGAAAATCATGTAATTAAAAAAACATTCAATAGAAATAAACAATTACATAAATCAATATATATAAAAAATAGAAATGTTGGTTACAATTTGGTTCATAAATACCAAAAAATAAAAAAAATAGTAAAGCAATTGATCCATTACAATTACACCAAATGCGAACTTTGTTCTCTTTTATATTCTATTTTGACACTACATAACATCTTTTACATTAATGAAATAGCTTAGCATAACCCACAAATAAAGAATAAATAAAAAATAAAAAAACAAAAATTATAATTTATATTATTTTACTAATTAAGTAAATGCTAGCATAGAAAACAAACGTACATTCATTTTAAAGCTTAACACGACCTTATCTGAGCACAACAGCCTCTCTAACTTACACTGGATTCAACATTCTAAAAGAGCTTCGCCATTCAAAGAAACTTTTTTAAAAGCCACATCCACAAAAAAAGAGAGAACGACCTACGATCTACAATCTAAACAACTTACAGAGGCGCTCACGAGGCGCTACTTTACCAAACGAAAATTTTTCCACTCTTCAACGTTGACTGCAACGGAAGAATGTCAGAACCTTATACTTTCGTTGATTTTTATTAACCATTGTTTGCTTAATGTTAGGAAAACAAAAAGTTACAATCGATTTATATCTTACATTCCAAAAAATGAAAAAAAAAAAAAATTCTCGCACAAATTTAAAAAAATTACGCTTAAGAGTTCGGTTGAGTAATTAATCTACAGCTGGTTAAAAAAAGTAATATATGTACATGTATGCAACAAAATGAATAGGAATCTGTCAGACCAAAAACCAAATAAATTAAGCAGATATTATCATTACATGCAATTTTTGTAAAAATGTGTCATTGAATGAAACAATTGTTGCGGTAACAAATAGTCCTAAGTGAAGCTGGAGAAAGACATTGCTCGGGTCAGTCACCAACAAAAGTTCACAATTGGCAGAATAATTTTTTTTCATTGGTCCCTCTGAGACAATCACAATTGTAAGCATCCTACCACCTCTCTCGGCAGCCGAACGCAAAACCAGAGGGATGGCTAAGCACTTGTTCCTAAATAGGTTGGAAATCAACATGCTACAAGTATGACACTCCGACTATATCCTGTCGGCGACAAAATAGAAATGCTCTTATTTGTATATTCAAATAGATCCAACATTGTTTATTATTTGTGTTTGTGTTTACATTATTTAAGCAGGCATGGAACATTGATATAACTCCTTGTAAAAAAAAGGTAAATTGATATGGTAGGTTTATGTTTGTTTGGATGTGCTATAAGTGAGAGATAAATAAGAACCAATGTTGGATGGTAAAATTAAAATATGCATGAGTAATAGAGAATAATATCATCAAAACAACCAACAAATCCATAGAACTGAGTTAGGCGATAACTCGGAGATGGTAGAGTTTATAGCGTTTGAAAAATGAGAATAATAAGATAGATGCACGGAAGATCGAATTAAACAGAAGGTGACATTCTATAGGTGAGACAATACAAAATAGACTTGCTATGATTTGCCCATGCATAATAGAGGTTATAAAATGCATCAATAACACAAGTGGATAAAACCAATGTGAAGATATTAGGAAAGGAAAGGTAGAGATCAAAGACATTTAACAGAGAAGTTACAAAATGAATGCACAAATTAATGGTATCAACTTATAAAAGTGGGAAAAATTTTCATGGTGTTTCTAATATAATATATGAAGAACTGACAAAAGCATATATGTGCAATGCTAACAGCCATGTGAAATTAAAGTCAATTACTTCCTGAAGATCTTTTTAATATAATTTCATGGTGTTTCGACATGATATGGATAGGAAGTTGACAATAAAATAACCAAACTCAAAAATTATCTTTTACCTCAAAGAGAAAAGGACATTTAACTGAAGTCGTCAGCGGGAGATTAATTAAAGACATTTAACTGAAGTCGTCAGCGGGAGATTAATTGACATGCGAATCATATACATCCTCAGCGATTTTTAGTGACGAACTGATAATATACCTCTTCTCCATATATTTTTCTGGAAAGAAGAAAAAAAGATGAGAGCACTGGTTAAACAATTAGGGAAACGACACGGCATGTATCTAAAACAGAACATGTCAAGGAATAATGTTCAGATCCCAAAAAGAAAATTGCCCTGAAGCAAAATTTAAATAATTTCAACAAGCTCTATAAGGCAACATTAATATTGAAAACAATAACAAAGTGTAAACCTCCTCAACAGTAATACAGTTTTTGGCATATAAGAAATCGTGGGCTAAGATACCATGCTCGTTCTGATATAGAAAAAGAAGGGATCCGCAAACCAAGTAGTTTATATTCATTCTTCATGGATTCTCGAGTAATTCAGAATTTCTTGGGATCTATGTTTAATAATATACGCTCATACACTCATATTCGTAGGGATCTATTCGACCAAAAAAAATTGATAAGCATAAATCAGGATCTACAATAGCTGAATTTTAAACAGGCTTAGCTCACCATCGCATGTTGCCCCAACTCACCAAAGATTGAGGCTGGACAAGTCATCTGCATAAACAAATCAAGTTCAGACAACAAATCCTGGATATTCAACTTCCCTAGGAAATCCCAAAAGTTGTATGCTGGACAAATCTCTTCTTCCAAAAGATCCACCTGCTCATCCAAATCCTTGCCTGCTGAGGAGGATTCATCGCCATTCACTAGGGTTACTCGCCCTTTCATGCAACACACCCACGATTTTCACTTAGCAGATAACTTATAAAATAATTTCAAGCCTTTTAGAGAATAAAAGAACATTTTCTGATCTTCTTAACGTTAAACTCTTAAACTATTCCAAAATCTTTTAAGTTAGTTCGACAATGACCCCAAGGTAGGCATGGTTGAAGATTGAGCTAAGAGGGCCAGCAATGCAAACTATAATAAAATCAGTATGACACGTGTCGTGGGTGGGACGCCTGGACAAATGCAGTAGTCGAGCTGGACGCCTGGAACGAACCAGTCCAACTCTTCTGAAGGCCGGCCGGCACCTTCAAAGGAGGTGTCACCTCTTTTCAATAAAAGGGTCCGCTCCTAGTTATCATAGGATTATTCAGTTGCTTTGAGTTTTTCATGTGTTTGTTGTGGGACAGCCCTCAGCGTCTCTCTTTTCCCTTCTAGCATTGTATCCAAGGCCCCGAGTGGTGCTCAAGCTATATCTTGCTCCCGAAATAGTGATTATCCTTCATCTACCTCTCCCCCATCCTTCCTGCATTGCACCCCGCCTCCCTCTCTTGCTGCCGCCACCCAGATCAGCAATTCCCTATTGTTTTCCTGCAGTCCTGCCATCTTTTCCTCAGTGCTACCACCAAGAACAGCCATCCTTTTTTCTGTCCTACAGTCCACCATATCCCAATTCACTGCTGCCATCATCTTCCCTTGCCGTCGCCGCCCAGAACAACAATTCCCTGCTGCTTTCCTGCCGTCCAGCCACCATTCCTCGTTGCCACCGCCCAGGGCAGCCACCCTTCTGCTGTTCCTGCAGTCTAACATCATCCCATAGCTGCAGCCCCTCCTTCCAGTCCCTAACCGCCCCTTTACTATCCCTCTGGAGGTCCAAACCCCTAGCCGACACCCCTCCACCCTGGATCCACCCCAATTTAGTGTTGTGTTTTGTGTTTGTTGCAATTTCAGATTTACGTTTGTTTGAATGTAATTTCCTATTTGAATTCAGCAAAAATATTTGTTTGTCATTGGTGTGTGGTTATCTCCGGTATCATTTGACATCAGAACTAGTTTAACCTTAATCATATCATAGGGTTACCAGTCCCCAAGAAATAATTTTTCCCACTCTAAATCAGACTATACACCCCTTTCACCCCCTTTAAACCTAAACCCTAGCTATACCACCTAGGAGACCAGGGTCGAAAGCCATTCAAGAACTTACCATGAAAGACATGCAATGGGAAATCCACCAACTTCAACAAAGGCTTTTTGAGATTGAGAAAAAGATGGGAGAGATCACCATCGATCATGATAGCGAAAGTCAAAGAGGAGAGAGGGAGAAAATTTTGAATCCCTTCCTTAGGGATGATCAGAGTGACTATTGGAGGACAGAGAAACTTGGGAGTGAAGGTAGACCTGCAGGATTTCGAAGGGAGAATGAATCTGGATAACTTCATCGAGTGGTTGCAGACTGTCGAGAGAATTTTTGAATACGAAGAGGTACCAGCTGATAGAAGAGTGAAGCTTGTTGTCATAAAGCTAAAGAACATCTCTTTATGGTGGGAGAATCTTTAGAGAGACAAACAAGGAGAAGGTTGGAACAAGAACACTATGGATGAGAAGATGAAGGAGATGCAAATGAAGTACCTACCCCCACACTACTGCCAAGATATGTTCTTTAAGCTCCACCACCTACAACAGGGGGAGTTGACAATGGAAGAGTTCACAGCCGAATTTGAACAGCTTTAGCTGAAATGTGAGCTAATAGAGCCAGAGGAGCATATCTATAGTCAGATATTTGGGAGACTTGAAGCCATCGATCAATAATGGTGTCCAGCTATAGCCTAGTGGTCGTTGGGTGATGTTCAGACTTTGGCATTGAAGATGGAGAGATAGCTGAAACAGAACAGACACCCACCATCATTCAGACAATCAACAACAGCTAACGATATTAGCAAGTGCACACAAAAGGAAGATGTGGAAACTATTCCGAAAGATGATAAGAGTTGATCACAGTGGGAAGAAGCCTGAGAAGAGTAGTACGCTCAACACCGTTCTAGCCAGATGCCATGGACATGGACACATTACCTCCAGTTGCCCTATGAGCTGAGTTATTTCCTTCACCAAGCAGAGTGTCGTAGAGGAAATGAACGAGAATAAAATAGTTAAAGAGCAGACTGAGGTGTACCAACTTTGAACTGATGAAGGCGATATGTTTGTGGTTCGATGGGCTCTACAGACTGAGGCTACAAGGGAGATGTGGCTTCACAACATCTTTCTCACTCTTTGCATTGTAAAGGGACAATTTTGCAGACTTATCATCTACAAAGGTAGTAATAAGAATGTGGTGTCTACAAATATGGTAGACAAGATGAGCCTCACTACTCAGAGACATTCCCAACCACATTCCCTGATTTGGTTGAAGGAGAACATGGTTAACATTAACAAGAGATGTCTCGTGGAGTTTTCTATAGAAGATCAGCTACAGGATCCGGTGTTGTGTTATGTGGTGTCCATGGATGTCTGTCACATTCTATTGGGAGACCAAAGCAGTTTGATCGCAAAACACTACATAATGGGTTCAAGAACACTTATTCATTCATGAATTATAGAAAGTGCATAGTTCATAGAAAGTGCATAGTTCTCCTATCTTTTATGGAGTCTAAGGATAAAAGTGCACTTGCTAGAAGAGAAGCGTTGGCGGGACCAATTTTAATGATGATAGAAGGTAGCAAAGATAGAAGAGCCGATATCAGATATACGACAACTACTACTTAGAGAAATCCAAAATATCCTGACCGACAGCTTACCGCTAGGGCTGCCATCGATAAAGTGGTTCAGTATGTCTTCACGTCAGAGAGTAATGAGTCAACATTGAGCTGTTTTTGTAGAACTATGCAGAGTAAACTTTGTATGAAGTTTCAGTTCAATCCAACGGGGTGCCCACAGAGGGTTGGACAGATAGAGATGGTTACTCACACTTCCGAAACCCTTCTCATGTGTGTTGTTGGACAACTCATCTGCACTGGGATCCAAGTACTTCTAAAGATGCAATCGAAGACACTCCAATCCTGGAAAGTTACAGCAACTCCACCACCTTCAACGTAACCGACCTGACACCATACTACGAGGAAACAAACTTCGACGAATGAGGTCGAAGCTTTCCCAACCTCAAAAGATTGACGCAAGCGTCATAGGTGGCATGTCTGGACGGATGTGGAAGTCACATCTAGATGCCCGGACTGGACTGCTCTAGGTAAATCTCCTTTTTTCAATAGAAGGGCCGACTCCAAGTTATCTTAAAGGTTATTTATTTTGTTTTGTAACTTTTAGGGTTTCAATTTTTCGTGTGTTTGTTATGGGACATTCGTCAGCATTTTTTCCATTCCAAAGCTGCATCCAAGGGCCTAAGTGGTGCTCCAGCTATATATCATTCCCGAGGTGGTGATTATCCTTCCTCTACCTCTTCCACATCCTTTCTGCATCACACCCCGCCTCCCTTCCTTGATGTCGCCGCCCAGAACATCAATTCCCTGTTGTTTTCTTGAAGTCGAACCATCTTTTCCTCACTGTCATCGCCCATGAAAACCATCCTTTTGTTGTCCTAGAGTCCACTACATCACCCTTTGCTGCTGCCGCCTAAGGCTGTTTAAAAAACTCATTGTTCACGAACAGCTCGTGTTCGGCCGGGTAAGTAGTTCGTGTTCGGCTCGGTAATTAGTTCGTGTTCTATTCGTTCATAAAACAAGTGAGACAAACACAAAAATTTTTTTAGCTCAATTTACAAGCGAGCCGAACATAAATAAGAGTTTGTTCGATCGTGTTCAACTCGTTTTGGCTCGAAATAAATAAAGAATTAAAAATAATGTAATTATATTATTTTTATATTAAAATTTTATGATATGTTTAATAGGAAAGTTTAAAATTAAAAATATATAGAATCATTTTAAATTAATTTTTTAATTCTAAATTATCTAAAATTAATCTAAGCTCTTAGATCATATCTAAAACCCTATATCATGTTCCTATTAAAATATTTACTATAAACCTAAAAATAAACCCTAAAACCTTTTCTTTTCTTTTGTTTCTTTTCCGATGGCGAAGGCTGAAGGGTGAGACCACAAGATCTCGAGAGCTCCTTTCTTTTTGTTCCATCCCGAGAGCTCTCTTTTCATTTCATTTATGTCCCAAAAGCTAAGAGGTGACAACTGAGAGCCCTAAACCCTCCTCAGTCATTTCTCTATGCAGCGGCCAGCAAAAAGAGCGAAGGTCTTGTTAGGGTTTCTCTTGTTTACGATTTGTGGATGAAGATTTAATAATTTTACCTTTTTTTCAAAGAGAAAGGATCAAGGAAATGTGCTTTATATTTGGAGAAGGGAATATGAAGTATGGTATTTTTGGAGAAGGGAATATGTTTTATTTATTTATTTTTCACATGATTGTTTCGACATGGTTCAAATATTTGCCTCAAAGATTTGTGTTTAGGCTAGTTGAAAGTTTAGGGTTTAGTTTTAATTATAGCAGTCATGTTTCTGCAGTTCATTAGAATTTCAGGGTTTATGAAAATTTTGAAGTTATACTGTCATTTTTATTGTCTGATTCATTCTAATTTACCTATGTGCTGTGAAAGTACGGTGATCTATGGGCATTTTTTGTGTACTTCGATAAAATTTTTTTCTTTATTATGTATTTTAATTAGTAATCATCGAACTTGAGAGTTGCGATTTAGTTGAATGATTCAAGTAGAATATAAGATTATTGTATTGGGTGTTTTCCCTTTCCTTTCTTTATGCATGTAGGTTGTAAGCTTGTAGTTGATTTTCCTCTTATGAGCAAAATACAAATGCTCATCATCAATTCCTATTTTTATTTGAACATCATCCATTCCTATTTTTAACTTAGATATAATTCTATTTAACGGATGGAGTTTCAATATTTTCTTATGGGTTTCAATCTTCTAAGCTCATTCTTCCTACTCTTTTCTATTCCTTAGCTGGTGCTTGACCGCTTCCTTTTCTATTGTCCTTGACTGTTTTGTTCCTATCTGAATTTTTTTGTTCCCCGTTTTTCATCTTTCTGATTTTTTATGGTTTTATTAGACATGCTCCTCTGATGTAAGTTTGAATGCAGATTTCCATTTCTTTGTTCTCTTTTTGCTGTTGTTTTTTTATCAATTTGCAGGAATATCGTCAAACTTTAGAGAATTGAAGATTGAAGAATTGCATATTGTATTTTTTTTTTATTTGTAATGTAATTGTAAATTATAATGTTTATTATCTGTTGTCAAGTTTAGAATTTAGATTTAACTTTGTACTTTAAATTTAAGTTTTAGATGATAGTGAAGGAGAGCAAATTCTTATTACTGTCAAATTTAAACTTCAGTTTTAAATTTATACTTGAAATCATTCACCTCAATAAATAAAATTTTTTTATTACTTAAATAATGATGTCTTTGATTTTTGTCATTGAATAAATAATTAAAATTATTATTTTTATAATTTGCAAAAGCTCATTTCGAGCCAAACTCAAGCCTAAGACGAACAATCAAACTCAATTCAAACCAAACACAACTATACAATTAACGAACAATTTCAAACACGAGTCTCGTTAAAACAAATTAAATATCAGAGTCGAACACGAACAATGACTGAGCTCGCTCAAACTCGATTTGTTTACAACAAGCCTTTGTCAACATGAATATTTTTTGTCCACTGTGCCCAACTGAGTTTCATATTTTCATTTAATTCTAATAAATTAAGATCATTTTTTATATAAAAGGCTCAAGTCTTTTTAGGTCTACCTCTACATTTCTTAGCATAAGTTGAATCTAAAGCATCTACTTCCTATAACTAGATCATCAGAAGATTGACGTCTAATGTGACTAACCATCTAAGATAAATCTCTTTAATCTTGTTTGTCACTGGAGCTACACCAATTTTTCCACGGATAAATTCATTTCGCAAATAAATGAACAAAAAAACTTCAAACAGGAATAAAACAGTCGAGAAAAAGATAATATGAAGAAACAACCAAGTAAAAAAGAATGAGAAAAAACGTGTAAAAATTAAAGAAGTAACATCTAAGGAAAAGAGAATAGGAAGCAATCAAGTAGCAGCTAAGGAAATGAGAAGAGTGTGAAGAGACCTCATGAACTCAGAAGATCAAATCCCATAAAACTTATTGAAACTCCATCCATAAAATAAAGTTATATCAAAGTTAAAAATTAACAAAGATATAAAAGCATAAATCGGTAGAGTTTCCTGAAGCAGGGTTGCAGATGCTCTAGCCGAAAGCCAGCCCTTTTCGCCACCCGGCAAACATAGATAAAAGGCTTGGAAACACTACAGGAATTATAAAACAATGATGATGATTTTTCAAAACTTTGGAATCAATTTCATTCTTCCCAATCTAGTGGAGATTAGTCTATTCGCCATGGGTATCTCTTCAAGAAAACAATTATGTATTCCAAACACCTCACGCATGTAATTGATCAAAGATATGTATGTCAACAACCTAAGATCTTTTGTAGGAAGAAAAAAGATCCTATTTTTGCTACAGTACAAGTTCTTCTAGCCTCACCTGTGACATGAAGTTATTCAAAATATCGAACAGTGTCCAATATGTCAAACTTACAAAGGAACAGCTCAAATTTCAGCTTATATTCACCCTTACCAGCTCCGAACTCCATATGGAAAGATTTAAGCCAATTTCATTTTGGGTTTTACCACGAACTAAGCAAGGTATGGATTCCATCATGTAATAGTGGATAGGTCTTCAAAAGTGGCTCATTTTATTTCTCGTAGAAAGACTTCCAATGCACTCCATATAGCTCGATCGTTCTTCCATGAAATAATTTGACTTCACGGGTTACCTCACAGGATGTTAAATTTATTAGTCAATTATGGCATGAGTCGTGGAAACAACTAAAAATAGAACTCCGATGAAGCTCTACCTACCATCCACAAATGAATGCGCAAACCAAAGTTGTATACCGCACCCTATAAAATATGTTACGTTACTTAATGCAAGTCCATCCAAAATAAGAGGACAAATTTATTAGTCAAGTTGAGTTTGTTTATAATTTTATGTCAAATTGATCCAATCACAAGTATCATTTTACTATTGTCCATACGCACCCAATCACACTATTGATCTCACGGTGTTGCTAAAATGAAAGAGCAAAGTAGTTAGAGAAGTTGCCAATAATACTACCAAGCTCTTGTAAGATGTCCAATCTAAATTGATTGAGTCTAAGATAAAATGCAAATAAAGTACAAATATTCACAAAAGACGGAAGGTGTTCAACCTGGGCTACGTTGTTATATTGCAGCTTTGTAAAGAACGAATCAACCCCAGCATGATGTCAAAATTGAGTTCCAACAAATTTGGGCTGTTTTCTGTGGCTCAATGAATTAATGATGATGTTTATATTATAAACTTGTCACCAGACATAACCACCTCTTTTACATTTAATGTGTCGGACCTTCATACTTATCATCCACCTGATGAAGCTCCGACCCAACTCTCATCGGGTCTGGTTTCCTCTGAGGTAGTGGAACAGCTTATCTCAAGCCGGCCTCTAGAACATTTAACCACCAGTAATATTTTTTTCTTTTTTTTCTCCAATAGATAGATAGATATATATATATATATATATATATATATATCTATCATTCAAAGCAAATATTTTGATAATTCCTTCTCCAACTAATTTTAATGAAATAATACAACTAATTTCTTTTTTTTATTTAATTTATTTTTTAGAGCACCAATAATGGTATTTAATAAACAAAAACGATGTTATGCTAAAACACTGAGTATTGGTTGCAAGTTTAAGGTAGTGAATACTAATTTTATTCTTCTGCTATATTTTTGCAAATACTTCAAGTACTGCTAAAACGGAACGCATTGTTTAGATAACTAGTACTCACCGAAAACATACAGATGAAGATTTTAAATAGCGATTAGATTAGTTTAATTTTAAACAAACAGTGAATGTTGGATGAAAGATCACTGATTGATATATCAATTAAAAAAATAAATGAAATTTGTTGTGTAAAAAAAAGGCAGAATTACTAAGAATTTTCTGTAATAATTTTACATAAAAAATCACATGTAACTACTAAAATTGTTTAAGATCAACAAAGGTACTTTAAATTGCTACATATACTTAAATAATGTAAATCAGTGAACTAAAATAACTACGATGCATAAATTGTCACATTCCAGAAAAAAATGAGCTTAAAGTGATATGAGAGAAAACAGAAAAAATTAGGAAGCACAAAACAAATTAATCATTACCTTTAGTGAAACTTTACCGAAAAAAAAAAATTGATGTCTATGGAACTCATATGATCATGAACAGGACAAAGACTTACGCAATGTCTGCCAAAGTCTGCGATTTAGTTACAGCTTTTCCTTCTGTGAGTTCAAGGCAGGAGTAGTGCATTATCATTTCCTTCAAAGTCTGCTTGGTACTTTTGACATCATTGTCCCACAAAATACACTGCAGGTGTGATTAAAACTGTAAGATAACTTAATAAAATAACAAAATGATTATAAAACTACAATAAATAGATAATCTAAAGATGTAATGCTACAGAAAAAGCAACCCAAATAGAAAGGATAGAAAATAAACACCTTCCTCAAGTACTCTCTCTTAATATCCTCCCAAGAAAAATTCCCTTCTGCACGAAAAATTGAAGCATTCCACAGAGCACCTCTAGCCACCATTACAGATGTTGCACCTGAAAACAGTATAAGAAATAGCTAAAACTTGAACCATACAGCTTTTACTGGTTCATAAAACAAAAATAAAAATATTGCCACCAATGGTTATTCAAAGTACACTCAAGCAGTAAGATTAGAAAAGAGAAGGTATCATCATATAAGCTAATTAAAATTGCAGATTATATAAAAAAATAGCTATATGCCTAGTTTTGTGGATGGAAGCCATATAGTTTCCTGGAATGCACGATTTAAACAATACTGCAAAATTAATATTTTCTGCTGAAGTGTATGCCTGTCAACTTGAACAATCGATCAAAACTGTATTGATAAACACCATTCAGCCACTTTCTCTTCAATTTACTACAAGAAAAGTAAATAACTGAAATCCAGAAATTTCGCAGGAATGTGTTTGATTATGTACCAGTTAATCCCCCATCTTTATCATATTTATAATACAGCAGAATTTGGATAATAAGCACATGAATAAAAGATATTCGCATAGGTTCAATCAGAAAGATCTGTAAATGCAGGCATCAATCAACATTAATACTGAATTCTTTATTCAAGCATCATCAGAATAGTTGCCTAAAAGAGTATAGAACTCAGTCATAGAATAATTAAAAAAAAACTAATTTTGTTACAAATTGAAATTTAGAAGACAATGAAGCCATGTTGCCTTGGAAAAAGGAAGAAAATGCTTATGAAACATGTGGTCAGGAGCAAAATTATGCTTTAAGTGAAAATATGAAAGCTCTATATCAACTGGTTCTAAATTTTAATTTTCCTCTCACTACATGGATTGAAATGTAAGGAGCCTCAACTCTCTCTACAAAAATTGCAATCAAAATTATGAGGTTGACTTCTGGATCTCTAGGCTGAGAGCGCAAATGTGGTATGTGCTTGTGTTTTGTAAATAAAAGACTTACAGATACTAAATCTGTAACAAGGGAATTACCATCTCTAAAATTCAAAAAGAGTTAGTTTTATGTTCTATTGAATTATCACAACAAACACATAAAGAGGCAATATATGCTAAATCTGTCACCACCCAACCCGGGATTGGAATTAACCAAGACGGAAACAGATGATCGGATAGTGAAAATAAATTCCCTGCTATTATGAGAAATGCAAGTGTGAGACATTAGTTATTTCAGGTGAGAGCCATAGGACTCCTTCACCACTCACTCAGTATGATTTTTTTACATTCTTGGTTGAACTATTAATGAAATGAATAGTGATTATGGACACATTCTATCTCTTTCTGGTGATCTCTATTCAATTGAGTAAAGTAATAACTTAAATAAATATGAAATTACTAGCAATCCAAACGAAAATGATTCGTAAGTCATAGATGAATCCACTGAAGATGCTTAACCAAGTACTGGTTCCTTTTCAGATAGTGATGTCGTTATTCTCAATTTTCATGGAATGTGGAATGTTCTAATTCTGAAGGATCTGGAGAAGTCTAAAAAGTCATGGAGCAACCAGTAGATGTCATTAAAACTCCTATGAAAGATGTTCTAGAGATCAACCACCAAAGTGGCAAAGTATTACCACCTCGTAAAACACTTCTTGAGAAAACTACACAAATCTTTAGTCCTGAAGAACCAACAACAACATCCCAGGGGATGTTGTCGGCCATTTTTTTATTTTAAAATTAAAATTTCAAATTTTAATATTGAATATTAAATGTAATTTGATTTTTGAAACGGTATTCTTTATTTTTAAAAAATAAAGAGACCAGATATAAATCATATATCTAATAGTTTAAATAACTAAGCACGATACCACAAGTGATATATCATCTCAAAAAAATGAGTGTATCACTTGTTAGTAGACTTAACTAATTAAACTTAAAAGTTTATGACTCTATTTGGGTCTACGAATTTATAGCCGACAAATTTCTCTATCTAATGCACAGATTAGACAGAGTTTAGATTAATTTGGGTTCTTAATTCCCTATAGAGGCAAGCCCCTATAGTTAATTATATTTTATACAACTAAAGTCATATAAGAAAACTCTCGATTAAGATCGGAGTTTCGTCTTTAAGAATTCAACGTTTAGGTTTCCATGATTGCTGATAGGAAAAGTCAAGTGGGAGACTTAATGTGAAACAGTTATTTTTGGAATTCAAAGGAGTAAAGAGTATGAGATGTCGGAGATACTATTTTACATATTTGAAGAAAAAATATTTAATATTTCGGTCAGGTAAATTATTTAGACATTCGGGACTTATATCTACATGTCATATGTAAATTTTCGAGACTTGTGTCGGCATGTCATATGCAAATACCCGAAAAATTAGAAGGATTTATGTCGTACCGAACGACGATCTCAGAATCTTAAAAGGTTTAGGACTTATATCGTACGATATAAAATCATAGAAAGTCCTAAGAGATAGTGCATGAGGATTTACTTCGTGCCAGACGAATGACCTCAACTTCCTATAGGTATGTTATTTAAGTATACGGAAGTTCAGCTAAAGCTCCTCTTTCCGCCTTCTGTTGTAGTCCAGACCGCTGCCTGGAGATGAATTGTCAATCGACCACGTCGTTATCTCGTCCCAAGAAGAGAAGAGAGAGATGGAATAGATCTTATTATTAGTTTATTGAAGTTTACAAACATCATTTGTGATTTTAAAAAAATGTTCTATTATATAATTTTGAAAAGTGTTAACATGAAAAGGTGTATTTTGGTTATATGAAAATGAGGGAAAAGAGAAAGAACCATGCCTTGAACGGTCTATCCTAAGATGTTGTATAAACGTACTAAACATGTAGTAACTAAAAAATGAGTACAAATGAATATCTATAGTATAACGCAGTAAAGAGAGGAAGCATAGAACATGCAGACATTGTATAGTAAAGTACTGTAAAAGGAAAAAACTGAAAGAAAGTTGTATAATAAAATACTGTAAAGAAAGAAAAACTGTGCAGTAAAGAAAGAACTATGTACTAGGAAAAGTAAGGAAACAGAAACAACTAAAAAGCGTATCTGGTTAATTCTGTTAATGCTTCAAAACATATTGCAATTACATAACATAAAAGGATTAGAAAAACATTTACAGATTATAAAAGAAAGACTAAATGATAAGCATATGAAAATTTAAAGTGGGATATAAGATTTTAATTTGGGGTTAGGCTCAGACTATACATCTTTTTTTTTTAATTTTATCGATCCTCCGGGCCACTGTGATATATTGAATTCTACCTATAAATATCAAGCAGAAATCACCAACGAATCACCCCTAGAGTCGGGCAACCCTAAACCCTATCATTTAATGGATTGGTGAACCCAAGTAGTATTTGAACTTATCAGTTAAAGGCGAAATGTAACCATATGAGATAGTATCTAAACTTATCAGAGTGTGGTGCACCTATGTGTGATGTTTAAATAAGTGATATGTAGTATCCAAACTTATCGATTAACAGTGTGCAGTGTGTTTTATCATATATAAGTATAGTAGAGGTTGTCTTATCAGTTATAACATCTGTTATTTTATTGGTGTAGTATCTGAACCTTTAAAAGTGTAGTATCTGTTGTTGTTTACCAAACTATTCACCAAATCTTTTAAGGGTTGGGGTTGCCAGCAACTTAAAGAAGTGAAAAAGACATCTTACAAGTTGAATATTGATTTTATGTTTTCAGCTATAAGAAAAAACTGATTAAAGGTTCTTTGCATCATTGTCTTTCACCCCACACCTCGAACTTATAAGCCACCTCGATGTTTCATATGCTTATCAAATAATTTCTAGATATCTCATATCATAAAATTGGAAGGAACAAATTTTCCAATATTTCTGTAACATCCAGCCATAAAATGTTGTCCCAATAACTTTGTAGCACACATCATCATGCTTGCAAGGTATAAACAGAAATGAACATTTATTTATATACCAAATAATTCTGATATGTTTATGCATTTAATTTCAAAAATTTCATTCTTTTGTTATATTGAAGTTTGAATAATAAAAAATGTTTAAATTTATTTTTTAAATATCATATGCTTAAAATTTAAAGATATACATTCGTATCCTTTAATTTAAAAGATAAGTTTATAGTGATTTAAAGATCTATAAATTTCTTTCTTTCATTGTAAAAGTTGTGTATGTAAAAATTTTTGTATTTTCATATTCAATATATTCAAGTTAGGTGTTATATTTACATAACTACACTAATTTTGACAAATAATAAATGCACATTTAAAGTTTAGGTGTTATATATATGAAATACCAAAAATCTGAAACTGATATATTTAAATTAAGTGTTATATAGGTAAATATTATAAAAAAATCCGAATATTATATATATAAGGGCTCAATAGAGGCACCCTACTCATACGATACAACACACACAAACACCCCAAAAAATAAAAGATACAGGGAAACCCAATAAAAGAAGTAGCTAGGGACGAGTCAGTTTAGTCCTGCCTCTGCCTCCAGATCTAAAGCGAGATCCAGATAACAAATTGTTGAGTGCCGAGTCATTTCCCGAAGTAACCAAAGTATCATCCATTAGGTTCTCAAGCTGAAGTTTGCCTCCAATCTTCTTCTTCCTTCTTGAATAGACCTGTCATTCCTCCTCAGAAGACTGACTCATCTGATCATCGTGTTGGTAAACAGAACGTCGGGCAGATAAAAGCTGATGAGAACCAGAAGAAGAATTGTCAACTGTTTCAAAGACTGCAGGTTCAAGTGTGTGTGAAGCATGAAATGTCTTCTCTTCACCTAATGCTTCCTGCAACTGAGGAGGGTTTGATGTAGGTTGCTTGTAGGTTGCTCAGCAGGGTCATCCAGCTTCTCATCGATCGCAGAAATAATATTTTCAGGGGGAGGATCCACAAGGGCAATTAACTCGGACACTATAACCTGTCATGTGGTATTTTTCTCTTCAAATAGAACAGATATATCCAAAGTAGTAGGGTCAGATCCATTCTTATTCACTTGATCTTTAGATTTCAAATTAGGATGAAGCTTATAACATTTATCAAGGTTGTGCCCAAACATCATACAATGA